GCTGATAATAACGCTGAATATGCGACGGCGGCGGAACAGAAGAGCGACAGGGTTCAGGCCGCATTCATATAAGTATTATGCGACGGCGGCGGAATGGAAGTGTGGCAGGTCTCAGGTCGCATTGATATATGCCCGATGCTCCCAACATGCTCCTTGCATAGCATCGTTCCCGCGACGGAAAGCATGCATGGTGTATGGGTTTTTGACACGCTCCCTGATTGGAACTCCAATCATCGTACAAGACATGCTAGTCGGGCCTGGAACCGTACGTTTGCAACACCTACCCCTACTGTCCGCGAGATTCGCTCCCTGCTCAAATATTAACGCAAGTTCATCGCTACCAAGATGACAGCAAAGACTCACTTGCGGCCAATGCATCTTTCCCTCGGTTCTAAACCCGCAAGTCGGTGTCGCGACGGCGCTTTAGTTTCATGATGACCTGCGGCATACAGTAACTGGGACGTTCTCAGGTGTATAAGGGTAAAATGGAGTTCAGGCATCATGATCGCGCAGCTGGAAGAAGGCTTACTTCATTGGTTTTCGTAGTCGTTCCTAGCTTCTGGTGCTTCTACTCCTACTCCGTCGTTCCTTCTGCGCCGCCTGCATCTTATTTCCTACTATCGCACTCCTCCTTTGCCCGCCGCGTCATCTGCGGGCTCGCGTCTTGCATGCGAACGAAGGTGGGAAAGTCCACGATAGATAGGCGTAGACTGCTCGATGAGAGTCAAATGGTGAATAGTAACGCCGCGCGCCCAACCCACGTACATTGCTTTCGGTGTTCAGACAAGTTTCCGTGCGTAGAGGTAGATTGTCCTTGGGCGCAGAGGGGCGCCTCGATGGTTCCAGGACGAAGGGGCGCCCACGCCGTAGCTTGTGACCTCGAGTATGTTTGCGCACCGCCAAATTCAAATGAACATGCCACACGATGGGGCCTGAAAGCGCTGACGCCCGGACAAGGCGCTGGGCACGTTCGTGTGGTGGGAGCACCATCGCCTGGTGATACCCCGGTGTTACAGCGTGCAGTAGCAGAATTCGTGAAGCAGATGAGGGAGCCAAGTTTACTGATGACCTTCGAGAAGCCGTTGTACACGATGGAACGTGAAACCGAATATCCGAGACCATTGAGCGCGCGATGATTAAGGGATGGTGAGAAATCCGTAGCCAGTATGAGCGCTCATGAACACCGCCATTGATGAAGAGGGTGATCACAGGTATTTCCGAAGGAGTGCTGCCGGGTCGAGCTCGTCGAGAAGCCCCACTGAGCTACGTCAAGATGTAGCTGAAGGGCTGAAGACAGGTTGAAAGAGCTCGAGAGACAGCATGACGCGGCGCAGCGCGGCACCGCCTGCAGTCGCACATTCACTTCGCTACCTCTTACTCTCACAGGGAACGCGACGCTCTTCATGCATCAGACCTATTTCCTGCTTTGCTCTATGTGGACGTCTGAAGCTGTGCGCGGCTCAAGACCGGGACTGGCCATAATATAGCTGCTTATAATCCTAAGCGTCGCTATGGTCTTCGGGACTCTCCAGTGCGATCCCGAGAGGCACCCCTCAGAGTGCATGGGCCCATCTCTTGCAAGCTTGGCTCGGTGAGATGACATGCCACCGCGGCGTACGACGAGGCGGGATATCAGTCGCTTGACCCACCATCTGAATCATGCGACTGTCAATCTCCCAAGCCAGAGCTGTCCGTCCCGCGCCTCACTTGCCAGATACTCTGAGCAATCGTCATGACCACATCCTTACAAATCCATGTCCCGCGTATCATGCGGACATCCCCTACTCGCGTCGTTCGGTGAGTCTTCCTACTTCTGCCATCAAGCGTCGCTTCAGAGCAAGACTTGACAATGGTCTAGATCTCCAATCCCCTCTGTGCCTGGACGCATCACCGAATGGTCGTCAGCGGCAGACCGAGCCGTGTGCGTGGTTTGCATGCTTGTTAGATATCTCGATCGTCACCCGAGAGATAGTTCATAGTCTACGCCACACGTATCATGAGCCTGTTACTGTCGTATCTTGTCGATGGTTGAGTCTTCATCTGGTCGTCGAAAGTACCCAGAGCCGAAGTGACGAGCTCGCCAACCACACTGTTGAAGCGCAGAAGCGCGCACAATTCAAGTTAGTGCCTAAGTATCTGCGGCTCGATTGTCCGAACAGTATCCTGATTGACGCTCAAACCTCATGCACGCCGCTCAGGGAACATTACCCACAGGCACGTGCGCAGAGTTTGGCTTTATATACGTTGACGATCGCGCGCGTGGTGCTCAACCCATCCCCCCACGTCTTAGCTATGTTGACTGATGAACAGAACGAGGCCGTCAACGCTTTCGTCAAGGGTGACTTCGTCACCTACATCCGCGAACACAACCCTACTTATAACGGATTTGGGGGGATCACCGACTGGGTGTCGGAGCGAAGAACAAACATGTTCGCCGAGCATGCTGCCTTCAAGACTCATGACTCGGACGCCCCTAATGTGCGTCTCTGTTCCTTTGCTGAACAACGGATGACGCGTATTTGTCTAGCTTGTCGACCGCAAGATACGAAACTACTATTATCATCTCCGCGACGCGGACCCCAATGTCCCGCCCGAGCGGAAGTCGGCTAAGCGCAAAGCCCCAGGTCGCAAGGCCTCGGCCCGTAAGTCGCCCAATCACAACCCAACCAAACCCCGAAAGCGAGGCCAACTCTACGACCTTCTCGTTCCTCGAACCACAGCCCTTGAGCTCTACGAGTGTGATGTCAAGCAAGAGTTAGAGGAGGTGTCTGATGATGAGGGCGAGTCGTATCGAGCGCGTCTGAAGAAAGGCTGGGAGGCCCTGTCGGCAGATGCCCATCTTAACTACGAGAAGTCGGTTAGAGACGTTGCCAGAAACGTCGAGCAGCAAGTCACTCGCTCTACTTGTATTGTCACAGGGCTGATCCTATGTGCAGCTGTCGCAGGCTGCTCGTTGAAAACATGCGATCGGGCTTGAACGAGCTTTGTCGGACTCCATCCCTCGCTAATATGACAGCCCTTTCAGTGTTTGCTTATCGCGACGCTCAGGGCGAGATGAAGTTGGATGTGTAAGCCCATTCCGTACTTCTACCATTTCAGAGGGCTGAGCTCGCTGTATCTAGCTGTGACGGGCGGCTCGCCGACGATAGCCCTCAATTTGGTTCCCGTGACGACGAAAAGGGTGCGCTCAAGACACTCACCGATTTGTATAAGGCATACGCCTGCAGAAGCATTCCTGGTATGAGCGTCATCATGCGACTGAACGTTCCAGTACTAACCGTTTTCGAGCCCTCCCGCCTCCCCAGCCTCCTTCTCCTGAGGAAATCGCCATCCCGTACAACGCTCTTGGCATACCAATCTACCCCGAAGTGGATACGATGCTGTTACCTCCAGATGCGCTCAAGACCGTCACCGTTCGGTATTTCGAAGTCCTGTGGGGTGGGTGTGGCTCTCTTGCTCGCAAAAGTCGTGGGACTCATTCGACGAATTAGAGTACGCTCATAACGTGGGCGAGCTTCCTTGGGACAATCTCAAGCGAGAACCTGGCCAATACTATGACGTGGAGCGCTTCCACTACATAAGCTTCGATCGATCTGCTTTGATGAATCCCTTATCATTATACGCGCTTGTCAGTCAACTTCAAGCGTATTGCGGTCCCAGTGCGGAAGAGCCCTTTGTGTTCACTCCTTCCCCTGGTCACGCCGGTCAGTGGGGAACTTCGATCGCTAGTTCTGACTATGGCGAAAGACCACAAGAATCACGAGCGTCAGGAGCGGAAGGCGGAGCGACTGATGCGCCGGCGCCAACGCCGGTGCGCGCATTCTTACCCTTCTCAATCGTACTATATCTAATATGTTCCTGCAGACCACCGCTCATCTTGGAGATAACAGTACTGGAGCATCCGAGCGGCATACATTGTCCAACTCAGGTGTAGACCGCTCACACCAATCACCGGTGACCTCAACAGACGTTGTGGCGAGCCCGATCGCTCAAGAGAGTCCTCTGCCCGAGCCTGACTGCGAAACTCCTGCGCCGCTCTCAAAGACATGTTCCGGGGCAGCAACGTCTCCGTCCGAACTGGGCCTGCCCATGCCTGACGTTGCAAGTGGGGGCGCAATCACGGGCACGAAGCGCGGTAGCAAGCGGGCTATCGATGTACTGCCAAAGATCGCTGAAGAAAGGCGGCAGCCCAAGCGTAGTCGCAAGGATGGAGAGGAAGTCGGCAAACCGTCCGGCGAAGAAGGCCGTCCACAGCGCACCCTGCGGCCACGTATTCCTGCGACGAAGACGAATACCACTGCTTCAAAGGTCACAGCACCTCGTCCCAGATCCAACAAGAAAGTGTTCGAAGGCTGGGAGTTCAATAACAGCATCTAGTGCGCTTTCCCCATCATTATTCCTGTCACCCATGTTGAAACAACCGTGTAGTCAGGGGGCCATCTTGCATAGCGACTACGTAGCCTGCGGCGGGACCCGCTTACAGGAAGAAGACTTCGCGCTGGAACACTCTCGCGTCCAGATTGCCGCATGCGACTTGGCGGAGCGAGATCCCGCTTGGTTCGCAAGGAGTAGTCTGTGGAAATCTGCAATCAAGTCCCGCCCGGATATGTAGTAGCGGACATCCTCCTCGTCGGCGTCTCTCCTTAGACTGAAATACTGCAGAATGACATGTAATTAACGGGAGGTGCTGGTTACATCGACTGTATTCTAACCACGGCCGCTTTCTGAACTCCCAGATCCCTGCTCCTTCAACCGGAAGCGCTTACCGCCTACTACACCAAGTTAGTCAAGTGCACCTGATCTGCTAGAAGTACTTGTAATACGCGCCTTTTCATCCCTGTCTTAGTGCATGCAATGACGTGGCCGGTGTAGGCGTAGGCTTTGAGCCGTCTGTCGGAGTTGCATATGCGCGACTATGCAGTGGGGTTGTGCGTGCGAGGAATGGACACAGATGATGCAACTCACCGCCTAATGCGCTTACAGTAACATGTAAGCTCAGAAACGCTCACAAGGATTTGTGCCGACGTACTTCCGGCCGGCATCTCCTGACCAACTTGCCGTGCTCGAATATTGCGGCTGGCTGACTAGAGGCACCTATTGCATTCATGCCCTTCTGTTGCTTTAGATACCGAGCCCTATTCTCTCTATTGCGCGAATCCAGCGAGAAGCGGTATGCCATAGACAGACATTAAGGCAACGGAAGAAATGGACAAGAACCAATGCGCGGCAAGCTCGACGCCATGACGCGTTCCGCACATGGCCACGGACCGCCACCATCGCCACCACCACCACCATCGCCACCACCACCGCCACCACCATCGCCACCACCATCGCCACCACCAAACCGTATCGGACGTCTGCCTACCCGAGTGACACGCCTTCGGCACGCGCTGAGAATGCGTCGCAAATAAGCCGCAATGAGCACCTATCAGCGCTTCCTGAAGTGCGTAACGCGTCTTCGCCCGCCTACGGCTTGTGGGATCATTGTTTCCTCTCGGACTGAGTGGCTTCACAAACATCTAGGGGAAAGTAGTCGGGTGTCTTCCTCGCGGCGCTTTTTGACGAAGTCTTTCTGTAAGGGATGAGCTGGTGAGCATCCGACGTTCTTGACATACACATACGTGCGCTGAATACTGCGAGAGTCTTGCCCGCAGGACTGACGAACAACGCGCGCATGTATACTCAACAGACGTTCTCAAAGAGGGCAGTTCATATCGCAGTACGTCCTACCCTTTCATGCTTTTTCGCGATCATTCAACGACAATTGTTAGGACCAACGCCTCGGGAGCCAGGGAAATTGAGGCGACTTGATCATCGCACATCCGCTGCCAGCGTGAGAGGATGTGCAACGAGAGTGGTAGCTCTGCGACTACAGGTCGCATGCTCTTGCATCAACCCGCTATGTTTGCTCTTCTGGAAGCGATAGACACACCCATTCAATCACTGTACGCCAGTCTGCAGCCGCGTGCCATCATAATCACTCACTTCTCAGTAGCTGGAAGGTTTTGCACCCGCCTCTAGATCCTGGGCAGGGATTTGCTGTTGTTAACGGTCCGTGCGCCTGCCCGCATGGCGTCGCGCGCGTCGAGCCACGATGTACAAGGTTCCCATAGTTCTCCCTCCATTCATGTGTACTATCTTTCAACACCCCGCATCAAATGGCCATTGACTGTGCTGCCGATACATATCTTGCGAGCTTTGCTGCCGCTATTACTATTCAGGCGCCTTACCATCCATTGCTGCCGAGGTGTGGCTCGCTCCCTCTCCAAGTTTTCGCCTCACTCCGATTCCTATGCACGTACGTACCTGGGCTGCATACGCGTCGTCATTCGAGCAATAAATACCCCATTTTCCTTCGTTAACCGTCTTTTGCCGCATCGCACGGACAGGACGGGCTTTTCCGCACGTCTTAGCATTTGTTAGTGTGCATATGCCCTCTCCCAGTCTTTCCGAACCCCAGACGTCACCAAGGACGACGTAGGTCAGATTCTGGTTCCATATGAGTCGCAGTCTGGAAGATGCTATGTCCGCTTTTATCCACTCATACTATCAGAGGCGACGAGGCGCGTCCGAAGTTAGAACCGCCATACGTCTACACATTTACTCGAAGATCTCTGCTCCGTAGCTTCATTATACGAGATACATCGAAGGGTATCCACTAAGGTTCCCGGTCTAGTGACCTACAGCGCTTCTACTATGTTTTCTTGGGATGTTCCAGCACTCACTCGGTTAGTTCTTCTACCCATGCGTTCCATCCTTTGTGCAGATATGTATACTGTGCGCGCTGGGGCTTTAGACGGTTGAATCCCGTCGGACGCTAGGCATACCCTATCATTCCACAAGAGTTCTAGCCGTCTCTGTCTATTTCCGCTACGCTAGTAGTGGGTCTTGGGCTCTCAACCACTCAAAATGGCCGGCATTTGGTGGCACTGGCTATGTCCCGTCGGAACGTCCGGAACGCTCTCCGTTCCGTCGGCTAATTGATGTGGCGCGTCGTACCTTCTTCTCGTACACCGCAAGTCGGCCGTAAGCTGGCCGTAAGCTGAGCGGCGCATCGGGACGAGGAAGCGCCGTCACCTGCGTGACGCCCGGGAACAGCTGGTTTCCAGGAAGCTGAGGACATATCAGCACACTGGCACCAGTTCACCCTGACTGCCAGCTGGACAACAGAGCTGGCTACGACGTGTCAGTGCGAGTGCTTGTCAGAGGGCGGGATATGCGGAAGCTCCACAGAAAGCCAGAATCGCTCAGTTATTTTTTCTGCTAAATTTCTGCTTAAATTGGGTATATTCATTTTTCTCCCTTTGGTCACTGCGAGCATAAATGCAATATATATTCCATTTAATTGAACGAGTATGTGTAATTAATATAGGGTAGCTATTAACACAATGCAATGTACCTACATATAGAGTGTCACAGCGCAGACAGGACTAGACTACGTACAATGAGGGGATCGCCAGCGCGACGATAGTTTGGGAGTCGACTCAATGCCCCTCCTTTATTCAAGCCACAAATCTCAGCCGAGTATGGGAACGCGAGAGCGGGCGAAAGCACCCGGCGCGGAACAAGGCGGGCAGTCACGACGACACGAAGAGACCAACAGAACTTGGCAGGAGGCACTATATACGCGCGTGCTGTAGACGGGAAGAGACGGGTGTTCGCTGTGTCGCAATCCGCGCACAGAACCAAAGCCGGAATGAGCACAATCTGAAAATGACAGTCAGTGACGGGAGGGATGGGCAAACAGGGAACGCACGTACGTGAGCCGCGACGGCCGTTATATACATCCCCGAGGCCGGGCTGCGCGTCCTCGCTTGCTCATGCATCCTGTGCCGCGTACGAGAAGTTCTCGTTATGCACGGGCAAGTCTGTCGACAAGATTGGGGACATCCTGGGTGTGCGCTGAATACAGGGTCGTATCAGCTGCACCCACATAGAAACGAGATGGCGGTTCGCGCTGCGTTCTTCCCCGCGTCAGCTCGGAT